CTGGGCTCAGGCAATCCTTCCACCTCAGCCTTCCAAGTAGCTGGGACTGTAGGCACACGCCACCAGGCCCAGCTAATTTTTGTTGATTGGTAGAAGACGGCGGTCTCACCAAATTGCCCAGACGGAGCCTCTCATCTTGGTCTCCCTAAGTGCCAGGATTACAAGTGTGAGCCACTGTGCCTGGCCTTCTGCTCTTTTTGGTTTCTCTTGAAGGCAACAGATATTTGGAGTTTTAAAAATCCATTCTTCCAGTCTATATCTTTTTAGTGGGACATTGAGATAATTTATGTTCAGGGTTAATGATGATATGCAAGGTACTATTCCATTCATCATACTGGTTGTTATCTGGTTACTTTATTTATTCTTTTTCTCTATTGTGTTGGTGTTACATGAGCCTGTGAACTTTATGATTTCTAGCATTTTTCTACTAGCGTATTTCAACCTGTTATTTTAGTATTTAGCTCTCCTTCGAGTCTTTCTTGTAGAGCCGATCTAGTGGTAACAAATTTCCTCAGTGTTTGCTTGTCTGAGAAAGACTATTTCTCCATCATTTATCAAACTTAGTTTTGCGGGATACATAATTCATGGCTGACTCATTCTGTTTGAGAAGATTGAAGATGCTTGCTTGTAGGGTTTCTTCTGAGAAGTCTTAGTCTGATAGTTTAACCTTCGTAACTTATTTGAAGCTTTCGCCTCACTGCTCTTAAAATTCTCTCCTTCACATTAACTTTGTGTAACCTGATGATTATATTGCTTTGAGGATGACCTTTTTGCAATCAGTCTTCTGGGGGTGCTTTCGGCTTCTTGTATCTGAATGTTTAAATCTCTGGCAAGGTCAGGGAAGTTGTCCTTTATTATTCCCTCAAGTAGATTTTCCAAACCTGTTGTTTTCTCTTCTTCCTCAGGAACATCTATGATTCTTTTAGCTTTAGACATTTGACATAATCCCACATTTCTTGGAGATGTTTCATTCTTTTGATATTTTTCTTTATTGTTGTCTTGGTTAATTTGAAAGCCTCATCTTCCAATTCTGAAATTCTTTCTTCTACTTATTCGAGTCTACTGTTAAAGACTTTCCACTGCATTTTGCATTTCCCTAAATGATTCTTTCATTTGCAGAATTTGTTTTGTTTTGTTTTTTCGGTTTTTTTTTTTTTTGAGTTGGAGTCTCACTATGTCACCCAGACTGGAGTGCAGTGGCCACTCCCGGCCACCGCAGCCTCGACCTGCTGGGCTCCGGTGATCCTTCTGCCTCAGCCTTCCGTAGCTGGAACTACAGGTGTGCGCTACCACGCCCGGCTAATTTTTTGATTTATTGTAGAGATGAGGTCTCGCTGCCCAGTTGGGTCTCGAACCCGCAGGCTCAGGCAATCCACTCACCTCAGCCTCCCAAAGCGCGGGATTACAGGCTGAGACACCAAACCCGGCTTCATTTGCAGAATTTAAGCTTTTTTTTTTTTAAGGTGTCTCTTTGGATAATTTTTCATTCATTTCCTGAATAGTTTTTAAGTTTATGCTGGTTTTCAACTTTCTGAATCTCACTGAGCAATTTTATAATCAACCTCTTGAATTCTATCTCTGGAATTTCAAAGATTTCATTTTGGTTAGGTTCCATTGCTGAAGAGTTAGTGTGTTCTCTTGGGGGTGTTGAAGAACAGTTTTTTCATATTGTTAGTTATTATTTCTGGTTTCTTCTCATTTGTGTAGACTGTTTCTTTTTATTTGAGGCGAATAGGCTGATGGAGGCACTGTAGGAGTCCTTGGGTTTTTATCTAGTCTTGGTGTGCTGAGTTTTGCTACTGCTGGCTGTGGCGGTCCTGTCCTAGGTACCTGCCCTGGCTCTCAGCATCCTAGGGGCTGGAGTGGCTTCGCTAGTGGTGGTAGCTGGGGTTTGATAGCAGATCTTCCCCGGAACTGAGGTGTTATATCCTATGTGGCGGACTGCTGTTGACCTCTGGACAGGAGGTGGTGCTTGCAGGAGAAAGCCAGCTGCATTGGTGGCTGTGGGCTTTTTCCCTGGTGTGTGTTGCTCCAAGGAGGTGCCTAGCCGGCCTAGGGGATGGGTGGGGCTTTGGGGGTTGCCCAAGTTCTCTATGCTGAGCCTCAAGGGGAGTGCAAGGGAAAGGAGCTGAAGCACCCCGGTCTGTGCCCTCGGCTGACCCAGTGGGGACTGGAAGTGAGTCCGTGGCCACTGGGGTCATGTACAGAGGCTGCACAAAATAATTTACCTTGGGAGAAGTTGTTACGGCAATGAGTCGCACTCAGCTCCCACCTTAGCCTCAGGCAATCTGTGATCTGAGGGTCAGAGTGCAGCCTTCCTCAGCTAGGAACTATCTGCTGTGGTAGAGCTTGCCTTTAGGGCCTGACGCCTCCCAGAGAGGCCAGAAAGCAGCAAGGGTTGACTTCCTGGGATGTGGCGGCTGAAGCTGTTCAGAGCTCTTTTTCCTGCACCATTTCCCGTGGGTTTCAGCAGAGCACGGCTATGGGGAAGGCGGTTTCCCACGAGGGAAGGGAGACCCGCAAGACTCGGGGCCCCTCCCAGGTCGTGGCAGGAGCACAGAATTCCCAAAGTCCCCTCACCTTCCCCACCATCTGGAGGTTGCTCATGGTCTGCTCCACGATCCAGGTGATAGTTGGTTAGTTCCAACCCAGACTGGTTTTCCTCCTCTTTGCACTAGGTGGTTATTATCGCTTCTTCGACGAGTTGTGGGGCTTGCTGTTGTTCACGTTCCTCTCCGGGTGCTGAGGAAACGCTCTTGGTTCATTCCATGGGAGCAACACACTCTAGCGGCCTCTCATCAGCCATCTTAATCCTTTCCCCCAGACTTTTATCATTTGAAGTGTACAGTTAAATGACATGATGTACATTCATATTATTTTGATGCCACCATCATCCATCACCAGAACTTCTCAAACTAAAACTGTTAATTCATAAGTAGCTTCTCTTCCTCTCTCCCCTGTACCCTGGAGACACCATTCCACTGTCTTTTGCCATGTTCTACTTCAGGAACCTGGTATACATGAAATCTTATTACTTGTCCTTCTGTGTTGGGCTTATTCCACTTAGTATAATGTCTTCAAAATTCATCCATGTTGAAGCATGTTTCAGAATTTCATTTCTTTTTAAGCCTGAATGATACTGGGTTATATAGTCTTAAAATGTTATTTAATAATATTTAAGACTGAATAATACTTTAATTATAGAAACAATTTCCTAACCTATGCATCCATTGATGGATATTTGGGGTTTTCCCCTCCACTTTTTAGCTATTGTGAATGCTGCTGCTAAAAACCTGGATATTCAAATATTGAGATGCTGCTTTCAATTTTTTGGGTATATATCCAGGAGTGGAATGGCTGAATTATATAGTAATTCTGTTTAATTTCTTAAAGAACCGCTGAACTGTTTTCCAGTGACTGTATCATTTCACACTTCTACCAGCAATTCACAAGGGTTCAAGTTTCTCTCTATCTTTGCCAGTACTTTTTAAGATTTTCATTTTATTTTGGATTCAGGGGGTACATATGCAGGTTTGTTACATGGGTATATTGTGTGATACTGGATGTGGACTTCTAGTGAAACTGTCACCCAAATAGTGAACATAGTACCCAATAGGTAGCAAAACTTCAAAAAAATAAGGACTTGTGTTACCTCAGGAAAGATTTTTAAAATGAGACACAAAACACAAACCTTAAGGGAAAAGGTTGCTAATTAACTGAGTGAAAAATTTGTTTGCCAAAAGACACTATAAAATAGAGAAAAGATAAGCCACAAACTAGATGACACGTATACCTAATAGGGTATTCCTAACCAGCATAAAGGATTTCTACAAATCAATAAAATTGCAAACAGCTCAATAGAAAAATGGACAAGAGATGTGAGCATTCTGCTCACTATGTAATAAGTCAGAGAACGCATGTCGTAATAATGAGATGCCTTTCTGGTATCAGTCTAGCAGATAAAGGTCTAGTTCCACCAACTACTGGTCACGAACCCAGACAACTGGTGGTGGTTAAATTGATGGAACGTCTTAGCAAATTCCATTGCTATGTATATGTACTTTAGAAAACTTCTCACAAGTCCACAAGGGTCTTACAGAAGAATATTTGTAATGGAGAAGAAACTGGTGGCAGCCTAAATAGCTAACAGAATACATTATGCACATGGATATATATAGCAAGGAAAGTGAATAAAAATAAAACAAAGTGAAAATAAAATATTAACATGGATAAACAGGGCAAGTAATTAGTGGGGAAAAAGACAATTATTTGATTTCACATATATTTAAAATATACTGAGCTATGCATATCATTTAGGGATGCATTCATACATAGTAAAATTATAAAGACCTATATAAGAATGATAAGCACCAAATCACCTCTATAGTGTGTTCACCTCTAATGTGACTGGGAGGGGCACACAAGGGCCTTCAAGTTGTACTGAGAATGTCTTATTTCTTTTTTTGTTGTTGTTTTTTTGAGTTGGAGTCTCACTCTGTCGCCCAGACTGGAGTACAGTGGCCGTTCCCGGCCACTGCAGCCTCCACCTGCTGGGCTCCAGCGATCCTTCCGCCTCAGCCTTCCAAGTAGCCGGAATTACAGGCATGTACTACCACGCCCAGCTGATTTTTTGATTTATTGTAGAGATGAGGTCTCGCTGCCCAGGCGGGTCTCGAACCCGCGTGCTCAGGCAATCCATACACTTCAGCCTCCCAAAGGCGCGGGATTACAGGCTGAGCCACCGAGCCTGGCAACAATGTCTTATTTCTTAAGCTGAATCATTAAAGTTCACCTACCTAAACAATTTCATTTTGAACTTATGGTAAAATAAAACAAGCAAATGTTTGAAAGCAAATGTTTATTAACTATTTTTTTTTTTTTCCACAAAATTCTCAACAGTTCAACATGTAAGAATAAGGAGGGGAGCACTATTGGAGAACAGGTTAAGAAAACTAAGCCTGAAATGGTCTAAATACTACAGAAAACTTTCTTCTGGGCTGTTATGGATGCTCTGCACTGTGTACCTGAAAAACAAAATGTGGTTTTTAAAAACTTTTGCTTAATGTCAATGTTCAGCTCTAGTTGTTGCATCTCATTGTGATCAAGAGAAAGAGTTTGCTGACTGCCCACGCTCTTTAATAACCTGGTATGAGGATGGTGGCTGTCCTGTAGGTCTAGACACACACCAGATACCCCTGTGCTGAAATCATGGTACCCACTCTCTCCTGCTCTCCCCTTGCTATCTGGAACCACGGCAATCTTGAGAGCCAACTCAGGTGTTCTCCCAGATATACGGGGCTCAGTAGGTGAGAAGGGCCCAAGAAGAAGAAACCTGGAAGAGATTGTTGTTGATTTTTTTTTTTTGAGTCAGAGTCTTTGGCTGGAGTGCAGTGGCATGATCCCAGCTCATTGCAGCCTCGACCTCCTGGGCTCAGGCAATCCTTCCGCCTTAGCCTCCCAAGACTACAGGCATGCCCCCAGCACACCCAGCTACTTTTTTTATTTTTGTAGAGACAAGATCTTGCTGTGTTGCCCATGCTCTTGCTAAGCTTTGTTGGCATGCCTTTGAGAAATCAAGGAAAACTCAAAGATACTTTTCTGACCAATTCGGCATTGTCTCTACTAGTCATGTGCCTTATTCTGACTAAAAGGGGGAAAAAGAACTTACACTTAGTTGTTCATCTTGCTCTGCGAGCCCCATTTCTACTAACGCCATGTGAACTGGATGCTGTTCCTCTTCGTATAAAGTTACTATTTGTTCTGGTTCCTGAGCCTAAAATGAAAATATACAGTTGTCAAGAAAACACAGTAATGTCTTTGCCGTCTTTCCCCTCCTACCTCTGGCCACTCAAAACAGGAAGGAAAAGGCATTTTCTAGGGTGATGTATAATTTATACTTTACTTCCAAAAGGCGTCTGCGATGGTTTCCTGCTAAATACCATCCCTTCCATTCTTCAGTCTATCTGAATTGTACCTCCTCCCCACATTCTCCTAGGTGAAGCCCATAGGCCTTGCCACTACCATCCCTATCCTGGTGCGCCGGCATTCCTCACATACAGCACTGCGCCTTCATGAAGCTGACTGATGCTCACGAGCAGGCATCCACTTGGCCGGACTGAGGGAGGCCTAGGAGGATGGTGAAGCCCTGTTTCTGGATGTGTCTATGAGGGTGTGTCTGGAAGAGCCTGACGCTGAGTCAGTGCACTAGAAGCCACAGACCTACTCTCAATGTGGGCAGCACCATCCAGTGAACAAACAGGCAGAGGCAGTGGGGATTCTTGCCACTCTCCCTTCCTAAAGGAGGCACCTTGTCTCTTCCTGCCCTGCACATCAGACTCGGCTCTTTGGCTTTTGGACTCTGGGGTCTACAACAATGGCCTCCTAGGGGCCCTCATGCCTGGCCTTGAACAGGGGGCTACATCATCAACTTCCCTGGTTCTGAAGCCTCCAAACTGAGCCTGCTACAGGCTTCCCTGGTTCAGCTTGCAGACACCTACCATGGCAGTCAGTTCCTACTCTATTTCTCTAGGGAGCCCTAATAAACTGACCAAATTTTGAATGTTACTCATAGAGGTGAACAAATATGTATCTGTAGGAAATACTTGCCATGTCTTTATTTTCATTGGTTAAAGAGAAACTGCACATGCAATAGCACATGTACAGGGGTTTTCAAAAAGCTCTTTCTAATAACATTATGGCTCATTTTTGTCATACCCAACATATCTGGAATCTCAAAATCATGGGTCAGGCAGGCATTGCAAAGAAGGGAAGTAAGTTGGCTGCCCACCAGTGGTGAGGACTAGGGTGAATGTTCCCATCTGAAAGGCTGCTGCTACCCCAGTCTAGCTGACTGCCACTTTGAGGGGGTGGGGAGATCAAAGATTTCTAGATTTTTATATTTACTCAGAAGTCAGAAATTCAGACTTTGGGGGTAAAATTTCCTGCTTTAAAACACTGAGCACTAAAATCAAACACGGCGCAGGACAGATTCTGCCTGCGGGCTACACTGTGACAACTTGTGCATCGGAAGAAAAAGCACATTCATATCAAACACTGGAGTTTCTTTTCTGACTTTCTAATGCAGGTTCTACTACATCAAACAATTCAAAATGAGTATAATTATGAGATTAGTAGTTAGTGTACTTCAAGCCTTTCCGTGATGACCAAAACTCCTGTTCCAGAAATAATCATTCTTTCTTGTACTCCCCGACCCCACAAAGCTACCGTATGTATTTCATACTAATTAGTGGCTTGCAGGTTTCTTTCCCTCATTATATATTCTTTAATTATAGAATACTTATCCTGACCATTTTATTCATTACATCAATGATATATCATCATAATGGTAATGTAAAAAAGTTTGTTAATTATCACCTAGGACTCATTTTAACAAGCCTTAAAATTAATTTTCTAGTATAGCTTTATATGGCTTATTGTTTATTTATTTATTTATTTATTGAATTGGCATCTCCTTCACCCAGGCTGGCACGCTGCAGCCTGGGTGAAGGTCACCCCAGTGTCGACCTGCTGGGCTAATTGGTTTTTTTTGTTTGTTTGTTTGTTTGACTTTTTTTTATTGTAGAGACGAGGTCTCCCAAGTTGCCCAGGTTGGTCTCAAGCCCTCGGCTCAAGCAATCCACTCGCCTCAGCCTCCCAAAGTGCTGGGATTACAGGCTGAGCCACCTATTTTTTATTTATTTTTATTTTTTTATTTTGAGTCGGAGTCTCACTCTGTTGCCCAGGCTGGAGTGCAGTGACACACTCACAACCACCGCAGTCTAGAACTGCTAGGCTCAGGCGATCCTTCCACCTCAGCCTTCCAATAGCTGAAACTACACGTAAGTGCTACCACGTCCAGCTTATTTTTTTATTTATTGTAGAGACGAGTCTCGTCAAGTTGCCCAGGCTAGTCTCGAACCCCTGGACTCAGGCAATCCTCTTGCTTTGGTCTCCCAAAGTGCTGGGATTACAGGCTTGCGCCACCGCACCCGGTGATTTTCTATTTTTTAGAACTACATAAAAACAAAGCACTTTACAAAGTTAACAGACATAATTGAAATAGTTTTAAAATAATGTTGGGTAGTTAAGACTTGTTTACCATGGAAGAAGCATAAAGCTGTTTTCTCTGAAGACAGTCTATCATAGTCCACAATGCCTCCATGCTCCATTTGGGACAATAAGGTATCTTTGGTTCTTCTGAATCCCTTAAGGAAGGTTTAAACCCTGCCAAGAAAACCTTTATGGCTTGGGCTGGAAACCGCATAAGATGAAGAGGAATTTGACGCAGTCTGTCACAAAAGAAATTCATTCTTAAAATGTTTGATTTTGCAAGTAAAATTCTCAGCTAAAATTATAAAACTCTTAGGAAAAAACAAAGGAGAAGCTTCATAACACTGGATTTTGTAAGTTTTTTTGGATATGACACAAAAAGCACAGGAAACAAAAAATGCACCTCATTAAAAACTTCTGTATATCAAAGTATGCAATCAACAGACTGAAAAAGTAACCTAAAGAATGAGAGGAAATATACATAAAAATAAACGTAGACATATAGAATAGATCCTTAAGATGATCCATGAGCACATGAAAGGATAGTCGAGGTCATTAACCATTAAGAAAATGATAACTAAATCCACAAGATATCACCTACTAGGATAGCTACTTCAAAAACAAAGTCGTAAGTGGGCTAAGCACGGTGGCTTACACCTGTAATCCCAGCACTTGGGAGGCTGAGACAGGAGGATCACTTGAGGTCAGGAGTTCAATACCAGACTGGACAACATAAGAAGACCCCTGTTCTCTACAAAAAGAATTTTTATTTTGAGTTCGAGTCTCACTCCGTTGCCCGCCCAGGTTTGAGTGCAGTGGCATGCTCATGGCCACCCCAGCGTCGACCTGCTGGACTCCGGCGATCCTTTTGCGAGTGTTGGTGAGGATTTGGAGAAACGAACCCTGGAGCACTGTTGGCGGCAATGTGTAATGTTGCAGCCACCGTGGAAAATAGCATGGCTGGCGGTTCCTCAGAAAATTATAGAATTATTTTATGATCCAGCAATCCCTTTTTTCTGGGTATATGTTCAAAATAATATAAAGTAGGGGCTCAAGGAGATATTTATACACCCACATTCACAAGAGCATTATTATTCGCATAGGAATCAACCTATGTCCATCTGCTAGTGAAGGGATAAATAAGATGTAGTACATACTGTACAAGGAGACTTCAAAAAGCCTGAGGAAAACTGGAATTAAAATATTAAGAGGCCAGGTTTGGTGTCTCACTCCTGTAACCCTAGTCCTTTGAGCGGCTGAGGTAGAAGGATCACTTGAGGCTAGGAATTTGAGATTAGCCTGGGCAACATAGCTAGATTTTAAAAAAAGACTTAAAAAAAATCAGGCATAGTGGTGCATGCTAGTAGTCCCAGCCCCTTTGGAGGCTGAGGGGGGAGGATTGTTTGAGCCCAAGAGTTTAAGGTTACAGAGGGCCATGGTCCTGCAACTGCCCTCCAGTCTAGGGTGACACAGTGAGACCCCATCTCAAGATTTTTTAAAAAGTTAAATAAAGCCGGGCTCGGTGGCTCAGCCTGTAATCCCGCGCTTTTGGGAGGTTGAGGTGAATGGATTGCCTGAGCCCGTGGGTTCGAGACCCGCCTGGGCAGCGAGACCTCATCTCTACAATAAAAAAAAAAAAAAAATCAGCCGGGTGTGGTAGCGCATGCCTGTAATTCTGGCTACTTGGAAGGCTGAAGCGGAAGGATCGCGGGAGCCCAGCAGGTCAAGGCTGCGGTGGCCAGGAATGGCCACTGCACTCCAGTCTGGGTGACAGAGTGAGACTCCAACTCAAATAAAAAAAAAAATTAAACGACAAAAATTAAAATCTTTATTTCTCAACTTAAGTTCCATCAAGGCCAAGGAAAATGTAAGTCATGATACCAGCCATTTAGTCCATCCCTAAAGAACTCAGGGTCCTGGGAATTTAAACATCACTGCAGTCTTTTTTACATTATTAACTAAACATTATTAACTAATTATGTACATTATTAACTTTAAAGATGCTAAGATTAGGAAACAAAAGAAGTCAGAAAGCCAAATCAGGACTGTAAGGTGGATGCTCGATGACTGCCCTTGACTGATGAGAGGAGTGAGCCGAGTCTGGTGGTGGTGGAGGAGGGGCTCTCTGGGGAAGCTTTTCTGGGGGTTTTTCTGTTCAAGCTTTTGCTTTTTCAAAAAGACTCTCACAATAAGCAGATGTTACCGTTCTTTGACTCTCCAGAAAGTCAAAAGCAAAATGCCTTGAACATCCAAAAAAACTGTTGCCATGACCCCTGCTCTTGATGGGTCATTTTTTTTCTTTTGAGACAGGGAGGTTCTCACACTGTCACCCAGGCTGGAGAGCAGCGGCGTGATCTTGGCTCATGGCAGCTTGGCGCTCCTGGCCTCAAGTGATCCTTGGGCCTCCGTCTCCCACGGAGCTGGGACCACAGGTGCATGCCACAACACCAGGCTCCGTTTTGTATTTTTTGTAGAGACAAGGTCTCACTATGTGGCCCAGGTTGGTCTCAAACTACCAGGCTCAAGTAATCCTCCGGCCTCAGCCTCCCAAAGTGCTAGGATTATAGGCATAAGCCACTGCACCCAGCCTTCCACCTATCCACTTTTTGCTTCAACTGCACCACGGAGCTGCCCTTGGTAACCATTGCTTTGTCATCAGGAATGTACCAAGAAAGTCATGTTTCACCTCCTGTTGTAATTCTTTGTAGAAATGCTTCAGGATCTTGATCCCATTTGCTTAAAATTTTCACTGAAGCTCTGCTCTTGTCTGCTGCTATCTGGACACAATGGTTTTGGTGCCCATAGAGTGAAAAGTTTGCTCAGCTTTTAATTTTTCAGTCAGAATTGTGTAAGCTGAACCAGTTGAGATGTCTATGAACAAGATTAATTTTTCCCCAAGTTGATGCAGGTAGTCTGCTGCTGCAAGGATGACTTTCAACATTGTCTCATCCCTTCTTAAAATGAGTGTTCACTTGTAATCTGCTGATTTGTGGGCCACTGTCCCCGTAAACATTCTGTAAAGCATCATTTCACCATTCTTCCACCAAAGCTTCACTATCAACTTGATATTTGTTGTTGCTTCAGTTTTAGAACTCATGATGCTCCGTTAGGGGCTCTTTTCAATCAGATGTCTTATCTTTTTTTAGTGCCTAAAAATACATCTTGTTCTGATATGTTATAATAAATTAGTACAAGTTTATTTTGGTGCAAAAAATTTTTGAAATCCACGCAGTTTTTCATAATATTCATTTTCTGTGAACTTTTGAAGACTTCTCTTACAGATAATGGGATATTACTCAGCCTTAAGAAGAAAATTCTGACACATGCTACAACTTGAATTAAATCTTAAAAACATTATGCTATATGAAATAAGCCAGACACAAAATGATAAATATTTTATGACTTTTCTTGTATGAGGTATTGAGAACAGGCAGATTCAGAGACAAACAATAGATTACAGGTTACCAGAAATTGGGTGAGAATATACTGGGATGCCATTGCTTAATGGGTACAGGGATTCTGTTTGGGATAACAAAGCGGTTCTGGAAATGGAAAGTGGTGACAGCTGTGTAACACTGTGAATGGATGTAATTACTTATATACTTAAATAACTAAAATGATAAATTTCATGTATATCTTTTTTTTTTTTTTTAGTTGGAGTCTCACTCTGTCACCCAGACTGGAGTGTAGTAGCCGCTCCCGGCCACTGCAGCCTCGACCTGCTGGGAGCCGGCAATCCTTCCGCCTCAGCCTTCCAAGTAGCTGGAATTACAGGCGAGCACTACCACGCATGGCTAATTTTTGATTTATTGTAGAGATGAGGTCTCGCTAAGTTGCCCAGGTGGGTCTCGAACCCACAGGCTTAAGCAATTCACTCACCTCAGCCTCCCAAAGAGCTGGGATTACAGGCTGAGCCACCGAGCCTGACATTTTATGTATATCTTAACACAATACAAAAAATCTAGATTAAAAATCTCCTAATATATAAGCAGCTTTAAAATGGGTTTTTTAACTGGCATCCGATTCCTGATCAAAACCCCAAGTGCCCAGGCCAAAGTGGGACCTCATCAAACTGACAAGCTTCTGCAAAGCCAAAGAAACCATCAAGAGAGCAGGAAGAAAGCCCACAGACTGGGAAAAAATAACTGCCAGCTATATGTCTGACAAAGGCCTAACATCTAGAATCTACAAGGAACTCAAATGAGCCAAACAAAACAATACCACAAACAGCCCCATTTACAAAGTGAGCAAAAGATATGAACAGACACTTCTCAAAAGAAGATGTATGAGCAGCCAACAGATACATGAAAAAATGCTCAGCCTCACTAGTCATCAAAGAAATGCAAATTAAAACTACACTGAGATACCACCTAACTCCAGTCAGGATAGCCATCATTAATAACTCAAAAAACAAGAGATTCTGGAGAGGATGCGGTGAAAAGAGAACACTTCTACACCGTTGGTGGGCGTGTAAACTAGTACAGCCTCTGTGGAAAACAGTGTGGCGATTCTTAAAAGATCTAAAAATCGACCTTCCATACAACCCTGCAATCCCCCTACTGGGAAAATGCCCTGAGGAACTCAAATCACTCAATGAAAAAGATACGTGCACACATATATTTATTGCAGCATTGTTCACAATAGCAAGAACATGAAACCAACCATGCTGCTCATTGAAAGAGGACTGGAGGAAAAAAAATGTGGTACATATACACAATGGAATATTATGCAGTCATAAAGAAGGACAAAATCATGAACAACAACCTGGATGGACTCAGAGACTATAATACTGAGCTATCTATCACAGAAACAACGAACTGAGTATCACATGTCCTCACTCATAAGAAGACCTTGAACAATTATTGTAATACTATAAGAAAAAGACGGGCAGCAGCAGGAAACTGCCGGCGGGGGGGTGAGAGGAGATGCGGAATTGATAGCAGTGGGAATCTGCCGGGGGAGGGGGACGCACCTTATCAACAGGGCACCTGCATAATGAGCATTTGTATACCTAGCTCTGAATTGTACCCTACATCTTTAAAATAAAAAAAAGAAAATCGTTTTTTTTTTTTTGAATCAGAGTCTCACTCTGTCACCCAGGCTGGAGTGCAGTGGCATGCTCGTGGCCATCCCGCAGCCTCAACCTGCTGGGCTGAGGTGATCCTTTTGCCTCAGCCTTCCAAGTAGCTGGAACTACAGGCATGTGCCACCATGCCCAGCTAATGTTTTGATTTATTGTAGAGATGAGGTCTCGCCAAGTTGCCCAGGCTGGTCTTGGACCTGCGGGCTCAGGCAATCCTCTCACCTCGGCCTCCCAAAGTGCTGATATTATAGGTGTGAGCTACCATGCCAGACCAAACTTTTCTTTTTTTCTTTTTTTTTTTTTGAGTTGGAGTCTCACTCTGTCGCCCAGACTGGAGTGCAGTGGCCGCTCCCGGCCACCGCAGCCTCGACCTGCTGGGCTCCGGCGATCCTTCCGCCTCAGCCTTCCAAGTAGCTGGAATTACAGGCATGCGCTACCACGCCCGGCTGATTTTTTGATTTATTGTAGAGATGAGGTCTCGCTGCCCAGGCGGGTCTCGAACCCGCGGGCTCAGGCAATCCACTCACCTCAGCCTCCCAAGGCGCGGGATTACACGCTGAGCCACCGAGCCTGGCTCAGCCTTTTAAGAGACACAAAATCTTCTCAATAAAGAACCACCAAAAAAAAACCAACAACAACAAACCCCAAAAAACAAAACTAAGAATCCTAAATCAATGAAGTTGACTTTTTTTTTCTTACCTATTTAATGTCACCTTTGCCGTTGATCCATAATCAACAAATTGTACTAGGATAGATAAAGGATTAAATTCCTTAATGTAAACAATCTTCGCTCTATACCATAAACCATCATCATATTCTGCAAGGCAAGGCATTTCTGGAAAGACAAAGAAAAGTAAAAATAATGCCTTTATTTTCTTAAAACTTTTTTTATCCAAAGGAAAGATAGCCAGTATCTATCAAAGGGCTACCTGCACCCTATGCTCCCTGCAGCACTGTACACACAGTAGAGACATGGCACCAATCCGTGTCCATCCACAGACAAGGAAAACAGATAAAGTGATGTGGTATGCAGATACAATGGAATACTCTTCAGGCACAAAATCAATCTGTCATTTGTAGCAACATCGATGTTCAAATGACACAACTGGAGGTCACTGTGTCAAATGAAATAAGCTAACCACAGAAAGACAAATACTCCATGTTCTCATTCATATGTGGGAGCTAACAAAAATGGACCTCATAGAGGTAGAGAGCAGGCTGGTAGTTACCAGAAGCCAAGAGGGGTGTATGTGTGAGGTGGGCCATGAAGAGAGGTTGGTTAATGGGCACAAACAGAAAGAATAAGTTCTAATGTTCAACAGCACAACATATTGAGCATTTCTTTTCTTCTTTTTGAGAAAGCAGGATTTATTGAGAGGACAGAAAAGCTCCCACAGTGGGAGGGAACCCAAGGGAGTTACCTGAGTATTTCTAAATAGCTAGAAAAGAAAATATGAAATGTTCCCAACACATAGAAATGATAGCTGTTGGAGGTGATGATTGCTATACATTCTACACACGTAGTAAAATAGCACATGTATCCCTTATGTGCAAATATTATATATAAAAATTTTTTTAGCACAGAAAGGAACAAAAGAATGGCTCAACTGTATGCTGACCATCCAGAATTGAACACTGAACACTGGCCTTATGTTGGCTCTCCTCTTTTTCTGTTCGTTTTATAAACCTTTCTTCACTAATTCCCAAGATTAGACTTCAAAGAAAGGCACACCTCCCATCCTCACAGCTGCCAGCTCTTCCCAAGCTTAGCTCATCCTGCCACTGCCCCACTTCTGATACACCCCCAGCTGCTGATAGTTTGGGCCATCATCTTTTGCAATGGATAATGACTACGGTTTCTGCTGTTCCTGCCTTCAGCTCTGTCCTCCAACCCATGTTCTCCAGGACCATCAGTATTCATTGTTAAAAATTCACACTCTTCTAATTTAAACTTCCCAACAGCATCTTCACTGCCAGTGTCCAGTCCTCACCATTGTAGCCCATAAGTTTCTTTAGCATCTGTTCACAACCCTGACGACCCTGACATTTCGACAAGTCAGTGAAACAGAACTTACAACCTGCATGCCTCTATTTTAGCTCACTGGTATTTGCCATCTAGAATGTTTTCCTGAGCCTTCTTCCTATGATGAACATCTAATCTTTTACAGCTCAGCTCCAGCATGCCTTAAAAAGCCCTGACCAACAGCTGATCATCCCAGCACCATACACTCTAGGATGAGCTGGTGCACTTGGTGTATGTGTCTCCTCTCCTTAGAGCCCATCCTTGAGTGCAGAACTGTTGTTTGTATCCTAACATGGAACCTGATACAAGCAAGTGCTCAATAAAAAGTATGCTAATGTGTGCCAGGCTTGAGCACAACTGTGGAAAATCAGCAGAGTGTGCTTCTCACCTTAGTCATGCTTTCCCCCACCTATGTCATTATGCCTTCTACAGAATGCCACTGAGAAATCCAGTGGCACTGAGATACCTGCCTAGTGTATCTTTTTATCTCAAATAATGTTTACTGAAGTGTTTAAACAATTTACTGAGTATACAGAGGAAGGCATCAGTAGATTAGTAAAGAATCTCATCTAGCAGAGTTGCTCGGTGTAGTAAATAACTGAGCTGCTTTTTTTTTTTTTTTGAGTTGGAGTCTCACTCTGTCACCCAGACTGGAGTGCCGTGGCTGTTCCTGGCCACTGCAGCCTCGAACTGCTGAGCTCTGGCAAACCTTCCGCCTCAGCCTTCCAAGTGGCTGGAACTACAGGCGCGCGCTACCACGCCCAGCTAATTTTTTGATTTATTGTAGAGATGAGGTCTCACCTGCCCAAGTGGGTCTCGAACCCGCGGGCTCAGGCAATCCACTCACCTCAGCCTCCCAAAGGCGTGGGATTACAGACTGAGCCACCAAGCCCGGTTGGAGCTCTGCCTTTTTTCTCTCTCTCTTTTTTCTCTGAATCAGGCTCTGTCGCACAGGTCAGCTTGCAGTTGCACGATCCTGGCTCACCGTAGCCTTGACCTCTGGGTTGAGGTGATTCTCCTACCTCAGCCTCCTGAGTAGCAGGGACTTCAGATGTGTGCTACCACACTGGATCATTTTGTCAAATTTTTTATTGAAACAAGTCTTGCTGTGTTGCCCAGGCTGGTCTGGAACTCCTGGGCTCAAGGGATCCTCCTGCTTTAGCCTCCTGAAGTGCTGGGATTATAGGCGTGAGCCACCACATAGAGTTTAAGGGCCATAGAGTTTAAAGGTCTCACTATGGTGCCCAGGCTGGCTTCGAACTCCTGGTTTAAGGGAGCCTGCCATCTTGGCCACTGGAGTACCTGCAATTAAAGGAATGAGCCACCATTCTCGGCTGTGTTTTTTTTTTTTTGAGTTGGAGTCTCACTCTGTCACCCAGACTGGAGCGCAGCGGCTGCTCCCGGCCACCGCATCCTCGACCTGCCGGGCTCCGGCGATCCTTCCGCCTCAGCCTTCCGAGTACCAGAATAACAGGCGCGCGCTACCA